AGGGCACATTCACGTTCCTGAATGGGCGTCGTCCTCTGTCCCCCGGCGCAAAGCCTGCCGTATCGTAGCCACGGCTAGCCTCGAGGATACCAGGGGCTGTCAGTCAGTCAACAAAGCTCATCGTCAAATGAGATCTTCAATGCTCTTCAATCAGTTTTTTCATTGATTGTGTAGGAATGCTTTCATTCGTCTTGGTCCTCTTGGCCTCGGTCGGCTTGAGTAGAGCCGTCCTGTCTGCACCTCGTGATCGTCTAGATCATGATCACTGTACAGCTACTGCTGTTGATTGTGCCGCTACCGCTGATGGTGGGTGCATCGCTGCCACAAGCGCTGATGGAAGTCCTCTCGACTTCCGAATGGTTTATGTTCCTCCGAAGACTTATGGACCTGGTGAGAAGAGGGCTGTCTACAAACAGTTTCAAAACTACCCGAGAATTGTTGATGCCTCTCGAGCCCCGAGTTATGCTCCCACCTCTCCCGACCAAAAGCCCAGTGTACCTATCGGGTACATTGACATGCCGGAAGGGACGACTTACGGGTATTGGGATGCCGCTTATGGTGTTATGAATGAAGCCGGTTTATCGATGGGTGAGAGCAGCTGCAGTGGACGTTTGAGTTCTGTTCCGAAGGGAGACGGCCCGAACGGTAGCGGCGCCTTGTTCTGGGTGGGTGAATTGTCTGATATCGCCCTCGAGGTCTGCTCCACTGCTAGATGTGCCATACAGACAATGGGTAAGCTCGCTGAGGAGCATGGCTTCTACGGTTCTATTGGCGTTAAAGAGGCTGGCGAGGCATTAACAATCGCCGATGGTACCGAGGTATGGGTATTCCATATTCTACCTGATGATACCGCTGAAGGTGCAGTGTGGGCTGCTGAAAGAGTCCCCAAAGGCCATGCTACCATCGTCCCGAATGTCTTTGTTATTCGAGAGATCGATCCAAGTGATGGTGACAACTTTATGTTCTCTGACACATCTTCGATATCGCTTTGAAACTTGGTTGGTGAATGGTGAGGGTCTCTGGACTTTACTGCCACGTATAGTGTCAG